ACTTCACCTGATGAAGGGGCAGTGCTTCGAAAGCTTGTGATTTCAAATAAACCTATTGGCTTATAACCTGGTATCGTGTGACTTCTGACTTTGTCCACCCCAGTCCAACACCGAAACCTCCGCATCATGATACCTTGGTGACATGAGCTCCTCCCAACACTGTGGATTTACAGTGAGGAAGAATCTCCACATAGCACTCAACAGCTTATACAGATTTTTCAGTACTAACAATATAGACAGTTACCTATGAAATTTCAGTGGCCCAACTGGAAGTGAGAATCAAACTAATGAAATTTTGGATAAGATATATTAAGTAATTATGCAATTGATTAAACGCTTGGTTTGAACAATTTGTGGCTGTTCAGGGGGAAAAAAGTCATAAAGAAGTTAAAATGGCAGCCAGTAAGGATTCCGAAAGTAAGTGCACTTTTATTTTTGACACAAGAGTGCCCTTCTAGGTTTTATAAATTCAGCCTGGGCTGCTGCAAGTCTGCACTGGTCCATACCCAACAATAAGATTTCAGAGCCCCCATGAAACCTGCTTCTTTATTCCAGCCAATCTGATATAAGTCACAAACTCTGGTCAGTGCCTTGAGAAAACTCGCCTCATTGTTTCAAAGCTGAATGGAGAGCTAAAAGCTGAAAATTTATTCTCTATCCTATCTTAAGTCTGGGCTTTGTTTGTGCTTTCTTTAGCTAAACTGATTCAGGCTATTTAACAAAAGTAGAAAAGTATGTATGATATTGGCTCTTTCTTTCCATACATGTCAATATCCTTGTCCTCTTGATTACCCTTGTACATCTTGAGCATTTAGTCTGATTTGATAATTGTGTTTCAGTCTGAGAGATTGAGGTAATAGAGGAATTGACCTTATAATTGGATGTTTGAAATTAATTATATTAACTGCTAGAGTATGTTTCCACAGATGCTGAAAACTCTGCTACCATTTTCAAATACTCATTATTTATTTGTGGCCCAGGCCAACGTACTGAACTTTGAGAAACACAGCTAAACCTGATTCTGACCTAGCCAGGTATCCACGTTAGCTGGGTGTACAAAATGACAGTAAGAACTATGGAATATTTATCCTACCACACACCTCCCCCCTCCTGACCTGCCGTAAGGGAGCCGAGACTAACTGTAGTTTACTTATTGCGATGTAGGTAAGGTCAGTTACCTCAGTAGAGATTAGGAATGTTTCATATACAATGTATAATCTGTGTGGTTTATTCCTGAAGAAGTAGTTGATGTACAAGATTGAGCTACTGGAAGGAAGCCCCTATTCAGGCCATCATCAGCCATGATTTTGTCAAGCCAGACTTGAGAGGCTGAATGGATCTATTTCTATTCAGAGAATCTTAACTGCATTTCAGTGATCTGATTTACTAATTGATTATGTAACTTCTGTGTTAGTGAACTTGACATTCTTATTGAAGGAAGGTTTTTTTTAATGATGTCAGAAAATTGGCATCCTAGCTCTAAAATGGGAAAATTGCTTTTTATTGTAATTTAACTGCATTATTTGCTACACTGTACATCTGCTATTGGTTGCTCAATGATTTAGTACTTCAGCTGATCTCAATTTGAATAACCTGCTTAATGATGTCAGGAGGAATTTAAAGTCAATGCTGCTCATCAGTGTTTTAATAAAAACCTTACCTTTCTATCCTAGGATGGCGTGATGGTTCTTAGTGCCACCCATCGATATAAGAAGAAATATGTTACTACTTTACTCTATAAACCAATCTGATCTGCCATCCCAATAGTCAGCATGCCCAAATGGTAAATTAATGTCTGTTAGTTGGCCAGTCAGTGATGGAGCTTCATTAGGATTTTAGCAGTTGTGTTGGTTGCCTTCTACATAATAGTTACAAGCACTTTACCAGATTGACGTACAAGTGTGACACTGAATACTATGGTATCAGCTAGGGCAATGCAGAATGTTCACTTTAGACTTGTATTTTGGGAAACTTGAAATGCATCTGAAATCGAGGAACTGTCTCAGTCATGATGAGCTGCTATATAGGGAAAAGCTTACTGTTGAAATTCAAAAGATTTTCTAGTGAAATATTTCTAAAAGCTTGCCTAATATTCTAATGTGTATTACATTTGACTTTGTGGGGGGTGGTTACAACTTTACCTTTTTGTTCTAGAAATTAAATTTTTTGATTAAAACCAGTTTAGTATGTAGAATGAAATCTAGCTTTCAGCAGTACGCTATCTTTTAATACCTGAACCTTTATATGTATCAGCGCACTTCTTTGATGCACTGGTGTGAATGTTTTTGAAGGAACCTATTATCTAGAATATCGGTTTGCAAAATGTGAAGTACATTAAATAATGGATTCCCCCACAGCTAGCAAATGTATTTACAAAGCTGTTAAAGGATTGACAAAAATAAAACAAAAAATTGTAGTTTGAAGTTAGAGTTAGAATATTATAAACTTGCTAAAACTTCATTTGCACAGAGTTGATGCATTGAATAGAGGATTTGTGTTGTGGTTTAAATGATGGTAAATAAGTTCAGAATGATGTTGATTGGTGAAACTGGCAGACAGGTGAAATTAAATGCAGAGAAGTGTGAACTGATACATTTTGGTAGCAGAATGAGAAATGGCAATATAAACCAAATTGTACAATTGTATGGAGGGGGAGGTGCAGGTACAGAACTGAACAAAGATCCTAGAGTGTGACAGGACAAGTTGAGAAGTTTTTTCATTAAAGAAAAGCATCTGGGATCCTTGGCTTTAGCAATAGTGACTTTTGAGCATGAAAAGTAATATATTATCTAAAATCTTTGCAAGATTTACTCAGATGTACCAAGAGTGAGGGACTTCAGTTAAGTGAACAAAATAAAAAAATCCTGGGTTATTCTCTGGAGAGCAGAGATGGTTGAGATGATGAACGATCTTGGTGTAAATAAGGAAGAATAGTTTTCAATGGTCAATAACCAGCGGATAAGAATTTAGATCGATTACAAAAGAACTAGAAGCAGCATTTGTGGAGAACACGTTGTCGTGATCTGGACTGCACTACCTGAAAGGATTCAGTAGTAACTTCCAAAGGGAATTGGATAAGTACTTGAAGGGAAAATATTTAGAGTTATGCGGAAAGAGCTGGAGGGTGGGATAATCACTCTTTCGAAGAGCCATCACAGGTGCATTGACTGATTGGCTTCCTTCAGTGCCATGTCATTCAGCAATTGTATGAAAGGACAGCTAAAACATTATACCTAAAATGGTTTTCCAGATCAAGTTGATCTAACTGATTTTTCTGCCAGCTAAATTACTGCCAAGTGACATGTCAAGAATCTTTATTTCAGTTCAAGATGCAGGGACATTTAATCTTAATCAGCTCTAATAATTGAAACTAATCTAAAGCTGCAAATTAAAAGTGCACGGGCATAAAGATTTGAAATAACCATCTTGTTTGAATACACAATCTAATATCTGGTGTTGTTGCTCAACTTCAGAAACTCTGAATTGGGAAATAATTGTTATATTCCCAAGTATTTAATGCAATCGCTGGATGATTTGTCATTTACTAGCAGAACTGGAGTATAGGGACTATGCATTGCAAGCTAAATTTGTTACTTTCTTGGCACATTAAAGATTTAGCAATCCTCGAACTTGTTCCCTTTGAAACAAATGGGAAATGTGACATTTGAGTTGTACTCCAGAGACAATACCAAATGATCCAGTGTTCTTAGTGCAGTGTGAATTGTTTGATTAATTTCAAAGCCTTATATTGTTGTTTCTTTTAACTCCTTTGTGGTTGAATAGCAAATGGTTGTCCTCTAGAAGTTTTTTCTGGAGGACAAAGTGGTCTAGATTTGTGTGTGAAATGGCATGAATATTCCAGTCCTTACAGATACTGGAGTGCACTTATTGTATAAATTGATGTGTATACTATACAAGGTTGTAACGAAAATAAAGTATCTCAGCTTATTACAAAATGGGTGGTGCTTTCTTAACCATAAAACCCCACTTTTATTTTGTAATGTCTAACAGTCACAGTTCACACAAATCTGCAAGGATGATGCATTTTCTTATCACAGGCTTTGAAGGCAAGGTGAACTTGATATGTCGGAGCTTGAAATCACTTGAATCAGTCGTTTTCTTATTTAACATTAGTGTTGCCATGATAGTTACCACACCTGTGTTTAAGAATATAGTGCCTTTACTTTATAAATTTTGGCAATGAAATTGTATTGAAACATTCATTTAAATAATAAGTCCAGTGAGGAATGTAGAAATATTGTTTTTAATTAAACTTCAGACAAGACTATAATGGTTGCTTCAGATACTTGAACCTTGGTTAAGTAGGAAATTGCTTCATGTTTAAAGCTTTTTTTTTTAATATAAAGGATCATTCTCCTTTCCATGCCACCATGTTTTTAAAATTCTGACTGTGGAAGGGCATACTTAATGGGCTTGGTTGATGCAATTCTCACCTGTGTCAGAGGGATGTAGGTTTAACTCTTGAGTTCATACTCCAAATAAATAGTGTGCAATTTAGTTTCAGCTTTGATTAAGCCTTTTTTAAATACTTGTAGCAATTGAAATAAAGATCCTGTAATTATTTAGCAGAATTGCATCTTCTGCCATCTTTGATTGCATGATTTGCTTATTTCAATTACGAATGCTTGTAACATTACAAGTCTACCCTGTAGTTTTTCCCAGTTTACAAATCTATTGTTAATATAAATCAGATGGGTCTTTGGACTGGCAAGGATTCCAGTGTAAGGTAAGAATGTAAATTGAGGGCCAGGTCTGTAATGACTGACTCAGATATTAAGAACTGCAGATGCTGGAGTCAGAGATAACAGTGTGGAGCTGGAGGAACACACCAAGCCAGCTGAAGAAGGGTCCCGATCCAAAACGTCAACTTTCCTGCTCCTCTGATGCTGCCTGGCCTGCTGTGTTCCTCCAGCTCCACTCTGTGTTATTTCTGTATTGACTGACCGATGTCCTTTTTAAACTAACACTCATTTAGCTTGTTAGATAAGAAGAACTTGAATACTACCAAATGAATCTAAACAGAGGAGGAAGGGAGTCAACAGACACTGAACATTTCATGTCATTATTTGGACCATGAAAAGAAAACAAACTTGTTTATTAATTAAATGCACCTCTTTAGGTTTTCAGAATAGCTTTCCAAAAACAATCTAGGAAACACACAACTTTATTTCCCAGAACTGTGACATACACACACATTGCTACATTCCATTATACAAATGAATGTATATACACTGGGAAAATATATACAACTTGAAACACACACTCTATAATGATCAGTATATACGCTTTATACAGTATACAGTTGTGCCATAGGGGACATCTATTGCAAAATAGACTGTGTACAGGAACCCTATTACCAAACATTAGTGATCAGTCATCATTTGTTTAGGTCATGGAAAATTATGTTTTTCTTGAGTTTCCTGACAACCAACCCCAGTCCTCCTTGATCCCTGGCTTTGTATATTTAGGGACATTAAACAATGACCATGCAAAATGAATCAAAAACACATGCTTTGGCACCCCATACAAATTCTGAATACTGAAAAGTCTTCTTTTCTCCATGAAAACCAGATTAACAGTTACAATAATTATGATTCAATGAAATGTAATTTTCAATTATACAGCTACATGGGGAAAATTCTCACTACGTAAGCTGGAAAACTGTTTCAGTAATTAGAAAAATGGCACCTTATTACATAATGACCCGACTCTTCCAATCTGGACCAAAATCCCTATTTCCTGATCCAGATTGGACAAATGTTACCTGGTTACCATCCCAGAGCTTTTGGGTTTAGCTCAGTCTTCCAATGCAGAAAATCCTGAACATGTCTCAGAATTGAGAACTCTCTCATTAGGCTCCAAACACTAGAAAGTTGCCATTTATATGTGATAATATCACTTAGTGTCTGGTCCCCAACTATCTGAAGAACTGGGCCTTCAATTAAACATACAAGGACAACCAACGCAAACAACCTTTTGTGTATACACAGATATATTGTGTATAGTATACAATGACCTTTCACACGCATCTATTTTCTATATAAAATGAATTGCCTTAATTCTTATAAGCCCATTCTTTTGTTTGTGTGCAAGATACATATAGAACACATATTTGCACCATGCTGTATATACAGTGCAGGCAAAAGCAATACTGGTGCTAAATTCTCTGTCTAATAGTCTACAACAGTAAATACAAAGTCATCCAGCCCTGTCTTAACTTTGTACCGTACTCTCAACCACCATACTACATTATTAAATCAAAACTGTAAAATAACATTTACAATGCAAGATGCTGTTAAAGGTTATTAAATATTATTTTGTCTTATTCCAGTGCTTGATAAAGATCACATTGCAGCAGTTGGCCTCAATGGCAAACTTATTGCACATACCTTTTGTTTCATGACTGCTCAGTGAGCATTTCACTCAGTAGCAAATGTTAGGATGTATATTTCCAGTTTCTCTGATTTAAATTGCACAAACTCAAATCCAGACAATATTTACCAAACCTATCATTCGGCTCAATGTTTCTTGATCTGCATTTTTTGTACCCACATTTGTAGTAATATATATTAACAATGCAACTCATAACCAGAATTTTCTATAGGTTTTGAGACGGCCAAATCACAACTTTTAAATTTCTCAATATCTGTAAGATTGCATATTAAATTTGGCATAAGGCTCATAAGATGCCAGATTCTTTGATCAATAACTTTCTTCTCACAGAAAGTACAAGACTTTCGATTTTAAATTTTTACCTAAACAAGAAAGTTAATCAAGCATTCATTGTTTTATATAGGATCATAAGGAAGTCACTATTACGTTTAGACCACGTAGATTAGTTCTTTCTGGAAACACAGGATGCTATTTACTTGTTTTCAAATGTCATTGTACTAAATTACTTTTGTAGGATAAGATTCCAATATTGTGTTATCTTTTGAAAGGGAAAGCAAACCACTAAAATGGTGGTTGCATAAGTTTTCTTCTTAAACCAGTTTGGGGCCATATCTTCCATCCTTCCCAGACAGTGAA